CACCAGACCTCTTCAGAGAATCCCTCTTCTGAATTCTCAGTCAAGCACCCCTTCTAAGGAGGTTTCTTGGGTTTGGGCGGGGGGGGGGCCTAGGTTCCCCCTCCCCCCCAATTAGCCTGTAAGAACCTTCTTGGGATATGGGGGGGTCCTATTCCCTCCCGCCCCCGGCACGTTTTTGCTCCGGGCCTGACCCAGTGTCAAAAACCACCGAGAACTTCTGCTCGGGGGTCCCGACCTGACATACGCAGCCAACCTTACCAGCTTCTGAGCTATACTTGTTTGGGACATGGTATGTGTATATGTATCCCTGTAGATTTATACTTGTGTCCAGTTTGAAGCCATAGGTGGACCCCATGATGTCGAGCGAATCACATGAACCAAATTCAACAGGCCTAAAGCATTCCAAAACCCGGAGAACTTAATCCCATTCGAGAGAGATATGGCAATCGAATCCCAGCTCCCCAAATCAAGCTGCAACATGAGGCCCGCAGGGCCAAGGTGATTGAAGCCCTGAGAGGAAATCCTTCAGCTCAGCTACGCTTGAGAGGAGGTGCGATGCCCGTTTCGTGACAAGAAACCAAGGAAGGCCGCCAAAGCCCATGTCTTTGGAGGTCCTTCTTTGGCATCCTTCTCCCCGGGCCAGGTCCCGCAGTCCCGTCCCGGCCGTCACGGAGCCGAAGTAGACGCTTTTGTACCTCAAAGCCAGCGACGGTTGGGTCGGTTCTGGGAAGTGTCACGTGGCCAAAGGATTCCACCTCATTCTCTTGCCCATCAAACATTCTGGCCTTTATACTACCACTAGGGCTTTATGCTACCACTAGGACTGCTTTTTTTTTCTGGTAGGGGGTTAAAAAGATTTCAACAGCATGTACCTCTACGGGCATACCCCTAGGGTATGGTGTAATATGTAGCGTAGGCTAGTGTTCTGTTGTGTCATGTGATGTCACGTAGTGCAATGTAGTGTGATGTAACGTAATGTAACGCAACGGAATATACATGCAGTGTAAATGTAAGGCAAATGTAAATGACAAAAATAATATACATGCACTGTAATGCCCTGCATTCCTTTTTGATATTCATGAGATGTGTGTACTGCTGCCGTGGGACCGCCACTAAAGGGCATGCAACTTCCCATGTGGGCTGTGGCCTCGGCTTCCTCAAAAAGGAATCCTCATGACCATGAGCATGTACCATGAGCATGTAAGCCAACTGGAAGGGGTCCCGGCGTGCATAGGTTGCAGTTGTACCGAGCGTTTCACTGCAACTCCCAGTGGAGCAGGGATCCAACGATTTTCACCCTTGGCTGAAAGAAAAACCTTGGCGAGGTGTCAAGTTGGAAATCTGCCACTCCATTTCCTGGGTTCCATGCCTTTTGGAACTATGGGGTCCAGCCCAAAACCAAGGGCTTCCAAGGGAAGCAACCAAAACAAGGAACTTGCCCCTGCAGGCGAAAGCCGGTTCAATTTCTGCCTTATGCGCACAGCACAGAAACCCGTCACAATCAATACTGTCGGGACCCATGAAAAGACTCGCAGGACCCGAACTCTTCCCCCCCGGCTTTTGATGGCGATCGGATGTGTTCCGGTGCAAAGGCTTGCCAATTTCCTCAGCGAAGCCACCCATGGGCTTTGGCAACTTGAAGAGCCAAGGAATGGAAACGGGGGCACGAGATGCGATCATCTTCGCCCTGCACAGGCACGCGCTGCCGGTGCAAAGGCACCTCGGAGGATTGAAGGGTCCGATTTGACTGGTTTTGGGGTTAAACGTTGCCTTTGAGGGATGAGGACAGATTGGGTTCTCCATTGGCCCGCAGATGTCCCCGAAAGGATCACACGGACTGACAACCGGATTCAAAAAAGCGTCGACCAAACCAGAAGTCTGATACAGACTCAAATAGACCCACGTCATCTCCAAATATATACCTCCTTTTTGGGAAGATATGGTGCGGAAAACCGGGTTCTCCAAAGTATCCCAACGCTTTTTGAGCCGGGAGTAGGGCTTATTTGAAAAATATATCCATTGGCTGCTAGCCCATTGCCGAATGGTCACCCAGCCCCCACGTCCTTTGGAATCATGGCTTGCAGGGTACTTGAGGGGGGGATGGTATTTAGCAAGTGGATAGTAGCCCTGGTTGTAGCCTGCTTGAGGTGACTCAACTATGGCTTTGGTGGGTGGTGAACACCATGGCACGAATCAGGGTTGTTGTTGGAAGAAAGGAATCGCCACCAATGAGGGGTTGTTCATCAGGCATGGACTGCCCACTGACCCCGATGAGGGGTTGTTCATCAGGCTTTCCCAGAAAGGGAAAATGGGACCATAAATGGAATTCCAGGGGTCACGTCCCGGGGGTGGGGCTCCCAGTACCATTTCCCTGGGCTCCCGACCACGTGGCGAGCGCATGCCTCACGGACGCCCCACATCTTCTGACGTATGACAAAGCCCGAAGACATGCGGCACAAACGCCCGGAGCAACCAAAACCCGAGGCGTTTGGTACCATCATGGTTAAAAACTGGTTAATCGTAATCCAGAATAAACTGGGTAGAACCCAAATGGCCCCTGTTTCTTGATTTCGGGTGAGGTGTCCAATCTGTTCCCCGCTCGTGTCACGCGGTGCGCTTTGTCACATGGTCCGCCGGATGCAGAAGCTCCGCCCGTGTCCGAGAGGCCGTGGCCGGTAGAAGAAGAGAAAGTATCAGCAGCATTCCTGAGATGTCAAGACTCTCAAAATTCTTAGTGCCCCCGAAAACTGCAAATTCCCGGCCTTTTGTCTGCGGCATTTCTGAAAACCGGGCTCCCACCGTCCACTGAAAAACAAAGCTCTTTGTGGGAGCTGCGCAGCCATCAGATCACCCTGTGTTTGTGTCACCTTTTCAAGCTCGGTGCAAGCGGAAATCCACCACATGTTTTGGACGAATCCGATTCGTTCCCCACAATCCCCTGCCGAACCGAGAAAGCGGGGCAAAAAGGCCCGCCAACCTCATGGGGCGACCCTGCCACACGATGGGAGAATCATCCGTTTCGAAAGTACTCTGCAACACCTGGAGTGTTTTTGAGCCCCCTCGCCAATTGCTGCCTTTTTGTTCATCCACTTTACCCCAAAAAGCAGCAACAATGACTGAAAAAAAACAGCAACTCGGCTATCTAAAAGCGCTCCAGGGCCATCTTTCGGGCCTGGGCGCTTAGCTCCCCGCAAAGAAAGGCCGTGACTTGCAGACGAGCGTCGAATCGAATTAGTAGCCGAGTAAGTCGTGAGTCCAAGCGGGTGGTGGACCAGTCAACGAAACTCGGGTAGTGTTGGGATACCTGAAACCAGCGACAAACAATCCATTGCAAAATAAGCTGAAAGGTCTAAACCAAACGGAAAGATCGCATAAGAACCCACCCACTGCCCACCACCCGCGCTCTATGGATTCGCTCCCTGAAACGTGTAGATCGTTCTAAGCCGAAAGGCGAGAGGATCCGAGTCCCTTTGGAGTCCGCGAAACCGAGTGATTCGGTATCCCAGTATCCGAGGGGACCCCTTCAAAAAAGACTACAAGGAACATGGCTGGCTACCTGTGGGAACTATGCACAGTACAAACCTCAAGTCAATGGAGTGTATGCGAATACCTGGGCGCACGTCCGAAAAGAAACAAAAAACGCCTCCTGCCGAATCAGGAAGCGTTGGCCATGACGAACGCCTTGGGTCGGGGTTCACCTGCCTTCCGGGGGCTGAAAAAGAAGTGCGTCTCTAGTGAACAGCGGGACACTGGAAGGCTGCAACCAAGGCAAAACCAAACATCGCGTTCCCTCCCGGGAAAACGGGGAGCCACAACCCAAATCTGGTTCGGAAGGAACCTTAGACTTGGCTAAGGCTTCTGAGAGCCTCTCTCGGTGAACTGGGAGGGGGCCACGGACTGAACCAGGGGAACTGAGAACCTCTCTTGGTGGGGAAATTCACGACGAAACACAAAGCAATGGTATTCCGGATTCCTCGAGCCGAACAAAAGCATTCAGGGATGGCATTGTAGGGCACCAAAAAATCGGACCTTCGAACCCGAGATCCAGCAGTGTTCCTTGGGGCCCCCGGTTTGGACCGAGTCGAGATCAAACCCATGTGCTTCTCGACGCCGGCTGGGCTGCCTTCCGCGGGTCCAAATGACCAGCCCTTTTCTCACTTGAAGATTCAAGGCTCCGACCATAGGTCTGTTTCAAACATACTGTCCTTCCGAAGCCTGCCTTGGCATACCTGGAAATCTGCAATATGAGTCAACTCGACACCAAAAAAAACTCCTCGACTTTTTCACAATGTCCATATCCTATTCGAGGTAAGACCCCCCAAGCATGAAGATACCCAAAGAAACACAGCTACGGGTAAAAAATAGGTACCCAAAATGGAACCCTGGTAAATGGAAACACGGACTAAAACCTGCGGTCCCCTGGTGTTTTAAGATTGACCCACACCCAGAGACCCATCAGCATGAGGCTCCTTTTTGGTTCACTCTGTGGCGCGTTGCGTGAGACATTGCGCGGTTGCTCAGACTCGCGCCAGGGGCACTCGCGCTCGGGGTGAAGGTGTGTGTGTGTGTGGAGATTTTCAACTTGAAACCGGTCAGAGCTAAATGCCTCCCTCTTTGGTTGGGCTCTCCCCGCTTGAGAGGTGAATTTCACTTCAAACTGACGCAAGTAATTATGGTGATAAAACCACAAAGAGTAGGAATACATGCGAAGCCAAAAAAAGCTACCCTTTCAGATCACGGGTATGTTGTTTTATTGGGAACCCTTTGGCGGCTCTACCTGGGAATGTATTAATCAGTTGTGTAAGGCTATGATTGCTATGTTGGAACCGACTGGTGGAAAACCCTTTGAATACATGGGGATGTGTGCCCAGCAATGGCTCGAAACTCATAGCCGCATCATTTTGACAGCCTTTGCATATACTACAGGCATTTGGGGTGCTTTAAAACTCAATTGAGTCATGATCATACAAGAACGCTACTTGTTCTTAAGCTCCTCATATTAGCTCTCCCTTTTCCGCTTTGGGACCCACCCGAGGCCGCGCGCCGCGCGCTGCGCGCGCACTGCGCGCTAGGAGCCTCACATGAAGTCCATGACTACGCTCTTCTCCTTGGCCTTTGGCTCCTGAAGTGCGTCTTTCTTTCATGAAACTTTCGTAGCTTTCCAGTTCCGGAAGTCCCCTATTTGCCCTATGGTTTCGAGAACTCTTGCGAATCCCTTTTTTCTCGCTGAGCAAAACTTGCAATGGTTCTTGGATAAGTTCTTGCGTGCGCCCCTTTTCATGAAGCTGAATGGGTATGAATTTCAACGCCCACCAACCACTTTTGAGGGGTTCCCTGCTAAAGTACATGCACATGTTGGATGCTTCAGTTTGGGGTCCGGGGGGGGGAAATGGAATTCCACAAAAGTTACGAGGAGGTCTACGGATTGAAGAAGAAAAACTCCTGTCCATCTCCCACTTTCGCTGATCGGACTCATGTTGCATTTCTAAAATGGGAGTCCGAAAGGCCTTGCCACAGTGGCTGACGGCCTAGCCATAGCCGCCAGCGCTGGCTGTTGTTTTTTCTCAGCTGTTATGTCCTTCCTTGATCCTTTGCTTTGTCGACTTCTGAAAACAGTGTCCCGCCTACATTAAAGAAGGACAGGTCCCCCACAACCAGGACTTCAAACCGAACAGATTTGTGTCCCTCTCCCTCGAATGGCCTCGGCATCGAAGCAAAGGCGTCGCACTTGACAGTTGGCCTGATTCACGTCCTTCTGCATGTCAGCCAGCCTCAATACTGTGAATGGATGAAATCCATTTCGCACCACCTGAGAAACCCTGGAATGATGACTCCCTTGTAAATACCAATAAACAATGGTTTCCACGGCTTCTTTGGTGGTGCGAAATTTCGTCCATCCACAGTAGATGACCAGTCAGAGAACCAGTGAAATCCTCGATCTCTCCCGAAACGGAAGGAAGATGGCCGTCTGAGGACAGAGCTGCTTCATGAAGACAAAGAAGGGGGGCGCCGTCCAATCGTCCAGCATTTGGAACCCGCCCATGCCCCCCTTCCCCATGCCCCCCTTCCCCCCTCCCCCACCGCCGCGGTTCTTGTACCTGGCGACCGTCTTGGACACCCCAAGATACGGAGGTCACAAAAAAAAGCCGATGGATTTCGGCGAGTAACCAAAGCCCTATGTCCTAGCAGCACTTTCGTGATTGGACCAATTGGACTATAGTAGGTGACCGTGAGTATTAACTTAACCGCTGCTCATGTCGCCAAACAGGTAACCTCTGCGCACTTGAGCGGGCATTTGGCACAGTATGGAAGATCACTTCTTCTTTGATTTTATAGATTTGCCCTGGTACCCTCTCTCCCGCATCGCAACTGTGGAAGGGTACCTGGAAAATCAATTTCTTGGGAGGGAGGGTTCTTTGCCCCTCCAGTGGTGCTTTTCAGGGTCAAGGCGAAAGGAAGGGCAGTCGGGTCGAAGCCCACGTTCCAGAAAAAGAGGACTCAAACACCAACCAGTTGGATTGCAATGGTTTTACAGAAACGCCCTGGGTATCTTCAAGCCAATAGAAACATCTTCGCATTTTCAAGGTCATACTCCTTTGAGATTGGTTTTGTTCCCTCGGAAATCCCGTTCCCTTGCTTGGTTTGCCACTCAAGCAAATCAACCCTTTGGTGGTTCCCCCCTTCACCCGCCCCGGCTTTAGCTTTCCTCTGCTTTGGAGCCCCTCGTCATTCCCTAACGGACCAAGGGCTCCGCAGGACCCTCAGGGTCCCAGCATCGGGGTCTATTTCCTGTTAGACCTCCCTGAGAGCAAAGCAATGTTCACAACAAAAGGGAAGTACAGGGAAATGACTCTTTTCTCACATCACCCTAGTGGTTTCTCAAAAAAAAAAAGCAAACAAAAAAACGAGCGCTAGAAACATAGAAACGGACCCAGACCCAACGCCTGGCTTCGGACAAAGCTCCAAAATCTCGACCCTCGACCCTCGCGGCGGTCGGCGCACTTGTTGTAGGCGTGCCCGGCCGCGGCGCCCGCGGCCGCGCCCACCATGGAGGTCAGCTTGCAGTTCATGCTGCAGAGCCTCGGGGCGAGGTTGGGGGGGCTGGCGGTGAGGTGAGGTGGGGTGGGGCTGGGCGGGGCGGGGCGGGGTGGGGTGGGGTGGGGTGGGGTGGGGTCGGGTGGGGTGGGGTGGGGTGGGGTGGGTGGGGTGGGGTGGGGTGGGGTGGGGTGGGGTGGGGTGGGGTCGGGTGGGGTGGGGTGGGGTGTGAGTGGGGTGGGGTGGGTGTGGGGTGTGGGGTGTGGGGTGTGGGGTGTGGGGTGTGGGGTGTGGGGTGTGGGGTGTGGGGTGTGGGGTGTGGGGTGTGGGGTGTGTGGGGTGTGGGGTGTGGGGTGTGTGGGGTGTGGGGTGTGGGGTGTGTGGGTGTGGGGTGTGGGGTGTGTGGGGGGTGTGGGGGGTGTGGGTGTGGTGTTGGGTGTGTGGTGTGTGGGGTGTGGGGTGTGGGGTGTGGGGTGTGGGGTGTGGGGTGTGGGGTGTGGGGTGTGGGGTGTGGGGTGTGGGGTGTGGGGTGTGGGGTGTGGGGTGTGGGGTGTGGGGTGTGGGGTGGGGGATATGTCTGGACTTTCCAAAAAGATGGACCCCCGCAATCGGGAGTGGGGGGGATTTGGAACGAAAATGGGTGGCGTCCAAATGTTCAGGTGTCCAAAATACACAAACTCAAAATTGTGTGCCACCCAAAAAACAAAATGGCGTCCGATGGCTTGAACCGTCCAAATGTTCAGGTGTCCAAAATACACAAACTCAAAATTGTGTGCCACCCAAAAAACAAAATGGCGTCCGATGGCTTGAACCGACTCAGAAGGGAAATGGTTGAATTGAGGGGAAGGTCCACAGCCTATTCGCGGGGCAAGATGCCTAAAAACATGGAAGATACACAAAAACAACCTTACAGTGGATGGACAAATCCTGAATGAGTTGGAGCAAAGCACTGAACAGCTGGTGCTGGAAATTGTCCATACAAAGGGATGACAAACGTCACTAAATACATGCATCTGGCTTGGGTTGGGGAAATTCTAACAGAACTAAACATCACCCCTCAAGGAAGCTTACGGAAAATATGATACATGCGTGGAAATTCATTCACCCATTCCGGACAAAATGGAACTGGCACCGCATCCTAATGGAATCGCATTAGAAGACCAATCACTCGTGCAACAAGTTGAACCCCCCAAAAAAACGCACCTTTCCGTGCAAAAAACAAAAACAAAAAACAAAAAACAAAAAACGAGAGCTGGTTCAAAAGAGTTTGGGAATCCAGTTGGGCTCGTGTGAATGCTTCGGATGCCCAAAACCCAACCCCGAACTTTGTCCCGAAACCCCAACGAGGCTTTGAAGCAACCAGTCATAGAGTCTCCCCTACGTGCTATGACCAGAAAAATAACGCTGTTTGGGGGCATGCACTTTCATTGGGACCCTGTCCGCCAACATCAGAAATACATGCAAATACAGGCAACCACTAAGCCTTGGATGCGTCTTGTTTTGAGGGCGCTGTGCTGGAGCGGCTTCGGGGAATAAGCAGGAAACCGCAAAGCAAAAAAAAAAAACATGCCCCTCGTTGGGGGTAACACCCCAAACACGGATTTCGCCCTTCCTTCGCGTGAGAGACCAACCCACTTCAGGCGATCACACCTCTCCAAGTCTGAGGTGGCGACTGCTTCTCGATGGTATCCACCCTTGGATCTTCACGAGCTACAGACATTTAAAAAAAGCCTTGGAGTTGGTTGCCCAGAACTTTGGAAACATATCGATGTGCCAAGTGATCTCTGGATGTCCATCTTGGGGATGTTTCGAAAACTAGGCGTTTCATTGGTGAATACCTCTTCTTTTGGTCTGGGGTTGACAAATCATACCCAAAAAACACTGGGCATCCGGAGCAGGCCATTTATCTTAGGGCATGATGACATCCCCTCACAAAATAGGTGGTATTCATCCAGCCGCCAACGCCTGCTTCTCCAGTTGTCCAAAACCACAAGTTGTGTTGGCCGTGGTTTTGCCCGCAAACTCCAAAAGAAAAACGGAACAGGGAACCCTGAGAGTTCATGTTGCCAGACTGCGGTGTACAGTGCTGACAGACACTGAAAAGTCGAAAACCAGGACAGGAGTGAAAAGGCTAAAGCAGAAAAACCTAACAAGCACAAACAAGAACAACTCCCAGAGAAGTCAAAACCGAAGAAGAAAAAGAAGAAGAAAAACAAGAGTGGTTCCGGAACACTGGAAGGGTTCCGGAACACTTTGGTTTTGCCTGTTCTTCAAGGGGTGTGCCTTTTGGTTTCTTTCTTTTCTTCTTTGTTTTTTCTTGCGTTGTTGTGTGTTTGCGTTTTCTTTGGTTTGCTCGAGGTGCGACTGGTTGTGTGGCTAGCGCCGTTGTGTTCTGTTTTGCTCGGTGATTCTTTGAGTTTCTTGGCGTTGCCCAGTGTTGCTGTGCGTTTGCTTTCTCGACTTTGAATTTGCATTTCTCGCAATATGTTTCCTTTGGGAAAGATACTCGAGTTTATAGTAGGTCTCACTCTACCCTTACAGGATCTCAGGTAATATGGTGTCTGCCAGTTGTGCTCTGCTTCAAAAACAATTCGAGCCCGCTCTATCTGAAAGCCCAATACACATCTAATTTGTCCTAATATCCAGTTTGAGTGGTAGTTCCAACGCTAGCTTCATATTTAGACATGCTATTTTCGGATTTGTGCAGAAAGTAGGCATGTGAATCAAACAAAGTCATATTGAAGAGGTTACATTAATAACAATTTCCGGAAGCTTAAACCAACATCATACACACTACACTCATATAACTACGTTGATCCAGACATTCATGTATAAATACATTATACATACAAATACTCACGGCATAAACATATGATTTGCACCAGGGACGCAGAAAAACAGTGCTCTCGAGCAAAGCTTCATATGTGTCTAGATATATAGAATGGACCTGGCACAAATAGAATAGTCCGCCTGGAATCACAACTCAAGAAGCCATGATAATGGTCTAGACATTCTAGATGCGTTAAAGATCGTTAAAGTACTCGAGATGTATCAGAATAGTGTTGTTAAGAACATGTTGTGTCGTAAAATTGTGGGGAGAAAGATGTGACAAAACGGTTATTGCAACAATGTTACACTAAATAGTGCGACAAAACATCTTACACTGCAATATGATCAACCGTACTGCATAGACAAAGCCAGTGCAAACTACATAGATAGACTTTCATACGCAAAGACAGCCCAGCCCTCAAAAAAAGGAGGCATTCCACTTTGGAACTGTGGAAAGCCTGTTTTGTTCAACTATATTGCAACTACAGCAGAAGGGTCTGTTCTAATGGTGTTTCAACAGCAATTGGAATCCTGTTTTGCTGTTTGGGGTCAAATGTGGTGCACCCCTTTTGCCAAAAGGGTTCGAAACCAAAGAGTTCCCTTGATATAAGAAGGGTTTGGGTTGAAATGAAGGCTTTTGTTGGGTATAGCTTTCTTTGCGTTGCCCTACCAAAAACAAATTCAATTTAAACATTCAAGGCCCAAGACCAACCTCACCCTCATTTGTGAAACTTGAAAGGGAAACCAAGCACAAAAGTTGCCATTCGGGGCGGCCTTTTGTTCAAACATACCCCCCATGACCGGGTTTTCCATGATAAGCTGGAGAATCAAATCCATGGCCCCCCCCCCATTAAAAAAAAAAAAAGGCTGAGTACTTAGAGAGGGAAGGGAAGTACCCAGTTCCATTTCGAGCATCTGTTTCTGGAGCTTCTCCATGCTATCCGCCGCGTTCTCCTCGTCCTTCGCATCCTGAATGGACTCGAACAAGGGAGACCGGAGAGCGGTTCCAGTTCCCACGAGTCGTGCAACGTCACCAAGAGCTGCGGTTTTGTGGCTGGGGTGGCCACAAACTCCCCCATGCCCTGAAGCTTGGTGCCGCTGCCCGGCGCATAAATCGCCCATTCGGACTATTTCCTGTACTGAGAAACAGGTCGGAGTCGAAGCCTGCCCCCTTCAGCTCAACTGTGGGCCACCGCAGCGGCCCGAAGGGTCTCCCAGCGAAAGCTCCCATGTTGCCACATATCAAGTGTCAGATCCAGCTGCCAAATCACCCTTTTGCCAAACGGGGCATGTGTCTACCACTGGGGAAAAACAAACTCACCCCCAAGGGGCGATCCAAGAGAGGCATGACACTTGCCCATGACAACATGATGGTTTGGCAGGTGTTCGGTGCACTTGGAAGGTGCAGACATGTGCGGGTTGTGCCTGGACAAAAAGATGATTCTCACAAGGACAGAGACAAAACGCTTCCAAAACACCTGAGGCACCCCGAAGATCGGTTTCCTGAAGGGACCAACTCCCGTGCTACTGCAACATCTATTTTTTGCCACTTCGCTTGACATCCTACTCCACACGGGGAGCGTTCCCACCAGCGAAAAGCAGACCAAATGCCCCTGGCACCTCATCTGGTCAGCTAACCCCTGTACTCCCAAAGCCACTTGTTGGGGTATGATATCAACCCTTGCCCAAAAGATGAGATATGTGCCATGCAAAAACGTGGCTTCTGTATCACAATTCAGGTACCCACTAAAACAACGGGTTTTAGGCCAAGGCCGAAGGATCTTTTGGATGATTCGCCCTCCACCCCTCCACCCATCCGACGGAGCGACGGAATTGGCGCGCCTTCTCGTCCTTCTTCGAGAAGAGGCTCATGGGGTTGATGGCGCCCAGCATGCCCCCAATGGCCCCCTTGAGGCCCCCCGGGCAATGGGTCTGGCACAGCAGAAACGCCAAGCCTCCGGCGGCAGCAGCGCCTGCACGGAAAAATGAATCCCTCCCAACCCCATTTTGTTGGTGTGGATCGGTGGTTTGGGATTTGAACCCTTGGTTTTCTTGTGGAGGGTCAATGGGAAACCCCTCCGAGAAACCACCAAAACACCGATTCGGCTCCAAACCACCAGTTGGAGGGAAGCTGACTGCCATTGGGACCAAAAACCTCTGGGCCCAGCAAAAAACCGCCCCGTTTGGAGCCCCAACCCCCTTGATACCCATGAGTAACCTTCACTTGCTGTCCAACCATCGCTACTTTCATTGTTTAAGTTTTTTTTCAGGGGGTTCTCAAAAGAAGGACTGGAAAGATTGGGAAGCTACCACACAACCTTATAGAGGTGATGCGAGACTTCCGCCTACCCCAAATACTCTCCCCTTTTGTATAGGTTCCATGTGAGGTCTTTGCAAAAAATAAAGTCTCCCTGAGCTTCCCTGATGGCAATGATGCCTGCAAATACCCGCTGATTGGGTGGGAAGTTTGAATTCCCTGCCTTTCCATGGTATTCACCTCTTTGGTCAGGAATTGACAAATCATATCCTAAAGACCATAAGATGATCGGCACAACAAAACTGGCTCCTGGCATCCAAGTGGTCCACCCACAACCTTCCGTGGACGGTTTTCCTACAAACCATGGCTGAAACCATGGTTGAAACCATAACGTTTGTTGTTCTACAAAAGAATCGGAATTTGCGGGGCTGGCCACCGCCCCTCATCACAAAAAGGCGGCCTCCGGCGACCGCGTTCATCATGGATGTAGGCTCCTGGCATCGACGCACGAAAGTGGCCTGACATGGTGAACACATACTTAGATCTGGGACATGGCTAAAGGCATGGGAAAAAGCTTTGGGATGTTGGACTGCCACTATGGTTACTCACCATTTACTAACTTGTCCCGGACCAAGTACAAGGTCCCAAAATCTCCCCCCCTCCCGGATCAAAGTAACTTCAAATCAATCTGGATTCGAGAAATGCCCCCTAAGATTGCTGAATTCCCCTCTCAAACAGAACACCCTTGATTGGTGTAATCCTCCAGATTAATCCAAAGTTAACATTGCGGAAAGCCAGTTTTTTCTACATAGAAACAGTCTGTTCCAAACACTGCATCTCTGTGAGTCTCCAGCGATCCACAGTGATGCAGTTCGCTTTCTGTTCAATAATATTCTGAGATTGTACCCTCAAACGGGGTTGCCTCAATTCACAAAACCTTTTGGCTTCAGTGCTGCCGGGCATCCACTCTGCGTAAAAAGGTTTCACGTAGCCCGCAGGGAAGGCGACAAAAGCATCCAAAGTAGATCCACATCTAGCTCGCGGGATTTTGTTCAAACGGGGTTTGAGAAACCAATCGCAAATGAGTATTCCCAAGCACATCAAGGACTTGAGTCAAGGACCTTCCTCTCCTTTTCCTCGAAGCTCGGACCTCGGATCGCATCAATTGGCCATGTGTCAAAATCCCTTTTCCCAATAAAAATCCCAATCCCCACTAAAATAGACTAAAATGGGTGGTGAATTCACGTACCAACCAAAAAACCACAGCCAGCCACTTCGAGTCTGTCCTGCACCTCGGTAGAGAGCTCCCCGTGGCCGATGCGGCTTTTGAATATGGACGGCATGGCCCAGAAGTCGAATCGACGAAGAGCTCTTGAGGGGGCTGAATGAAGGTGGGCGCAAGCATGTTTTGTTTTCGGGGCTGGATTTTTTGGGTGACCCCCAATAATCCGAGTGAGCTGAGGGACCCCCCACACCGCCGGCTTAGCGCCGTCGTCGGCCCGCTTTCCCCTGAAATCCGCGCGCTCCGCTGCGCCACGGCCGGGAATGGCCGCTTGAGCCCAGGCAAGGTGAAGAATTCAAAACGCACCCCAAGGTTCAGATATTGCGGACTTTTGATCAAAAATAACCCGACTTGTCAAAGGGGTCCCTTTTCATTCGAGGGCCTCTCTGGAAGAGACGGCCCCCTCTCTTTTCCCACGTGAACCTGTTCTGCTTGCAGCTTGTTGTGCTCATGCGATGTTTCACTCCTCCGCCCCGAAACACGGCAAAAACGCTTGCAAACCCAAGAAGGCGGAGGAGAACCTCGGGCAAATCAGCGGTTTCCCACGCGGACGCAACTTGGCTCCTCCACCCTACTTTAAACATATACTATTGTGTAACATATTTGTTCTACATGTTGAAATATGTGTATATATGTATATGTATCAGTTAATCATACATTACAATTATTTTATATAATTATAGTTGTATCAATTATCATCCATAAGATAAATCATGTTCTACATATATAATTCAATAATATATGATTATGTAATACAGGACTGGCTCCTCCAGCTTCCCCACACGGCGCCAGGTTGGGGCCTGGCGGCAGTTACCGCATGCCGGGGCATGCCATGAACTATGTTTGTGGGGTGCCAGCTGCGGCTGGACCTGGAAGATGCAAAGCGTGCAACTGCTAGTGTGCGGCCGGCTACTGCATGCCGTTGCAAGGTAAGCACAGCAACGCTGGGGTCCCAGCCGCGGCTGGGCCCTGGAGGATCCACCTGAGTGTTAAAAGAAAACCCTAAACGTTAGAATCTTGATCACTGCTTCAATCCGAAAGGGAACATGCAGCCAAAGAAAGAAGAGGTGCGACCGACAAACATGTATGCACGCTCTTTTTCTTTATGAGGCGTTGCTTGGAAGTTCAGGCTCGGAGGCGCAGGGCCTCACGGAGGAGCAGGTGGCGCAGCGGGTGAAACAACAAGTCGAGGCCTCGCTGGGCGACCCGGCCGCCCCGATCCTGCAGCTCTCGGACGAGACCTACTTCCTCGACCCGGAGGGGCACTGGGTGGTCAGCACCCAGAGCACGCAGTACAGGAACTCGAGGACCGAGGTGGAGACGCTCCTGCGCCAGCGCATGAGGGGCCTGAGGAGCGTGAGCTTCCCGCTGCCCTGCGAGGAGGACGTGCTGCCGAGCGCCTTCGAGGACAAGCCGCTCTGCGTGCCCCGGCAGCTGGCCGAGCTGCTGCAGCTGAGCGTGGAGGAGGTGTGCGCCGACTTCGACGCCATGCTGCACCACGACTGGAGGCACCTCGGCATCTCCGCCGAGGAGGTGCGAGAGTTCTGCGTGTGGCGCAACGCGCCGATGCGCGTGCTGAGCTCGCAGGGCGACCTCATGGACAGCTACGACCCGGCGCTGAAGGAGCACCGCACCGTGTGTTTTTTGGCCTTCGACGGGCACTGCTACATGTACAGGGCCGTGAAGCGGGTGCTGGAGCGGCAGGCGGCGCGCGTGCTCTACCGGGGCGAGGCGAGGCAGACCCTGCCGCCCATCGGCGAGTGGAGGCGCTTTGACGCGGCGGACGTGCAGCCGGGGCTGCTCTGGTGCGAGGACCTGCGCGAGGCGCGGCGCCGTCACGCCCAGCAATAAATTGCTTTCATACATACACCCCCCCTACATTTTTTTCATCTTCCATCTTCTACCCTTATTCGTTTTCATCATTTTTCTACATTCCTTTCTGTCCATCTCATCCGTTTTTTATCATCATTTTTCCAAATTTTTCGCCATCCTTTTCTCCTTTCTCCTCGCCTCATTCATTTCACCAACTACCCTTCAAAATGTCATTTCCTCAATCTCCTCACCTCATCCATTTCAAAAAAATAAATTTTGCAAAATATATTGCAAAAAATATGTGTCATCAAAAAAATCGAACTGTCTAAAAACGAGTTGTCCATTTCCCGGACAAAAAATAGAACAGCAACAACATCACTCCCCTCCTTCGTTTCATCACTTTTATCATATATATTTTTAGGCGTGGTGTCCCTTGTAGAATTGTAGGAAAGGGGTTTCTGGTGTCAGGGTGTAGGTTTTTTGGGACCGTCGCGCCGACGCTGCGCTTGGTCTTCGTTGCCTTCATCCATGTCCGGTGCGCCCTTGCATTTTGCGCTTGCCACTCTTTTGAATGAACCTTTTGGGGGTGTAGGCTACCACCTTTTGGGGGTGTAGGCTACCGCCTTTTGGGGGCTACCACCTTTTGGGGGTGTAGGGGTGGCTACCACCTTTTGGGGGTGTAGGGGTGTAGGCTACCACCTTTATCAAGTGTTTTTAGTTTGCTTCACCACGCGACTTGCCTCCGCGCAGGTATCTTCATCACCGCCTTTGACTTCCAGACCGAGCCCTACAAGGTAAGGACTTGGTTGGGAGGGGTGTTTTTTCTGGGACGGTGGGGGGTATATATTATAGTTATATATTAGGGAAACTCTCGCCATTTTTTGTTGCCCTGTTTGGCAATTGGCGAGAGTTTCCTGATATATCTATATGAATATTGGTGTTTTCTAAATTTGATAAACCATGGATTATCCCCTTAAAAAATAATATTTTCAATTTGTTTGAATTCCTATTTTTTACTGTGTTGTCGTTGGATGAACCTAGAAATTTCAAGTTTCAAGTCCAACCCCAAACTCAAAATCCTTAATCCACCAAACTCACCAAGATTTCACAAATTAATTCACTAGGTATTTTGTATAAATCTTCCTGTTTATGTATTATTGGGTTGTCACCCCATTTTTCCTTGGTGCCCGATGGCAGTCTCTGTGCGGTTTCAATATGTTTATTATTCCTGATGTTGCCACAATCCTTTTTACATAATTCTCTAGGTTTCCAAGTTGTAATGTTATTCCAGAGCCTAGTGCGTTTTCTGTAAGGCATTCCATATTTACAATAATCAACATCTTTAAAATCAAACTCATCCATAAACTCCTGATGTTTTAATAATCCAGTTTGTGGATTTTCGATTACAAAATATTTAGGATTGAAATATGTGATAATCTCAATAGTTTTTAAGACAATACTATTTGCATATTCGATATTCCTAATTCCCCTAGTTTTTGCTACACTATATTCAGTGCATGGGGGACTACTCCAAATAAAGTCAAAATGGTTTCTGTCAAACTGTTTGTAATCCCACTCCAAAATATCAGTGTTGATATCAGCATCTTTCAACTCTAATGATATTACATTAAATCCAAGCGACTTTGCTATGGTTCCGACGCTTTTTGTTCCGCTAAATAATTCTAATAACTTCATTTATTAGAATTATTTAGATATTGATTATTCAAATAATACATATACTCCATCATCATTTTTTGAAATTTTATAAAATTCTAATGTTTGTTGCTTTGGTTGTTTGATTTTTCCTGTATTCAACATATCACAGTATTTCTTTTGCTTTGTAGGGTAATCGCCCGATGGTCTTCCTATAGATTTTGCTTGAAATATCTTTTCGATTTTCTCCTTCTCTTCGTTGCTTTGTTGTTCGCGTTCAACTGGTTTCATTTTGTCATCAATGGATTTAATCATATCATTTAAGTTTTTGATATTTTTACCAATTAATGTTATCTTCTTCATTAAATCATTAATAGTATAATTTTCATTTTCAGACATTACTATATATTTATTTAGATATTTATTTATTTAATTATATATTGTTCATCATTTGTTTAACAGTTTCTTGTGTTTCGTTTTCATTATTATCCGAGAGTGATGCATCCTTACCCCATTTAAAAGTTATATTATGGACATCAGTTTCTAAGTTGATACTGTCTTTAGTTTTATCAATACTCATTTTCTTATCAATTTTACTTATTTTGAAACTTGTTGGAATACATGAACATTTACAATTTTTATTATTTTTTATTTCTAATTCATTTTTCATTTCTAACATCTTTTTACACATTGGACAAGAAAACTCAATTACTGCTGTTTCTTTAACAATTTCTCCGCTATCTTCTGTTGAAGATAGACTTAAACTTGTCTTATTTTTGTTTTTCTTTTTCTTTTTCACCATTTATATTAATATTTACATTTTTTTTGATATATTGTATCACAAACTTAATTAATTCTAATGAATAATAACAGCATTTTTTAGTTTTATTATCAGTTATTATTACTTGTTCTATATTCTCTACTTCATCTATTATATTAATACAATCTGAATAACTCCTATTCATATAAATAATAAGATAAAATAGTTATTTAATCTTATTATTTTCATGCATGATAGAATATTCGGAGGGCACAGCACTTGGGGTTTTCTTTACAACGCCTCAAACTAATTAGCTTCAATGCTTATTGATTGAAGTTGATGAAAGAGCCTGTTCTACTACGATAGACACCATTCATATCATAGCAATGCTTTCATACAATAAATAATATTAATTTATTTTCTAAATATCTTTAATATTAACTATATGACAGATGTTCCAATAATAAAACCAATAAACATAACTGAATATGAATTCAAACAATCTAAATATGAGCACGTGCCAAAATTAGGCGGTAAGACTGTCCTTATTCAAAATCTAATATTGAATGTTTATAGAAATTCATTTGCAAGAATATTTATATTTTCACCCAGCGTCCATAACGACCCTACATTTACAGAAGTTAAAAAATATATCAGGGATGAGTTGCACGTGGATGATGAAAAAGAACAAATTCATTTTGATAATTATAATCCAAGTGATTTAGAAAATGTAATTGAAAGACAGAAGAAAATAATTAATTATATGAAATCTAAAAAGATAAAGAAACTACATTCAATATTAATCGTTATAGATGACCACGCAGACGACCCTAAATTTGTTAGATATAGGAAAATTATTACATGGATTATTTACAAGAGGCAGG